GGGGGCAATTTTGCGTTGTTGTATGCCACATTCAGCAGTCAGCTCTTGATGTGATGAACGACAGTTTTGCTTCTGATCGAGCATGTGTTTGCATTGGCATTGGCATGAGTCACTGATCTGGAGACCACAAGCTCAGTAGGGCCCAACTATTGTATATATTTGGAATTCCCTTGATTTGATTCCTAAATTAATCAGAATAGTATTGATTAAATATATAGATGCTAATTGAATCTAGTCTACATTGGTTGGCTTCAAATTCGATTGCCATGTGTTTGAGGCCATATATTATATCGATAAATTTATGGAATCGAAATAAAAATATATTTTTATTTGGAACTAATTAAATATATTTAAAAAATCAAAATATTATATAATATATTAATATGAAATAATATGAATATATTGAATATATACATATATGGCTTTTTTAAAAATATAATAAAAAAATATTTATATATTATTAAATTGATAAATTGAAAAAAATAAAGGGATTTATTTAATATTGATCTTATTTTTTGAATAATATAAATTATTTTCTTTGAATGATAAATAAAGCGTTATTTTAGTTTAAGCGTAGCGTGCGATTTCGGATTGCGGGGCGGCGTTATTACGAAAGGTAGCCCTTTAGGGGATACCTTGAGTTTGTTTTGCGAAGCAAGTGTTGGGACGTCCGGATTTAATAATTGATCGTTTAATTTAGACCCCCTCCCACTTCTTCTCTTTCGAATTGATTTTTTAATATAGACCCCCCCTCCCCGCCCCGTTGGTATTGATTTTTTAATATAGATCCCTCCTCCCTTTCTTTCTTTTTAAAATTAATTCTTTCCTGGAGATCGTTTTCGTGAGTCTTTTATGATTTTAGGATAGTTGAAACCCTCTTGAATATTTAGAAAGAGTGAATATGAAATTTTAATTACGAAAGGTGTTTTCCGAGGGGATATATATTTAGAGTTTGTTTTGTGAAGCACGTCAGTTTTCTCTTGGGGAGCGTCTTCGTGAGCTTCTTATGGTTTTAGGATAATTTAAATCTTATGATGTTCCGATTGAATGTTTATCGATGATCTGAGCTATGGGGCAAATTTGTTTTCTTAAGAATCTTTTTGAACATTTCGAAAGCACATGTTTGAACATTTAAAGTGCATATGAACATATATTTACGAAAGGTCGCCTCCGAGGCGATAAATTACCATGTCGAACATTTTTATTTTTGCCTCTCGCGTTTTTTTCTCTTCTCGCTGTCTTACCTTTCGTGTCTCCTTTTTCTTAAGTATTTTATTCGATTTTATATTAATTTTCGATTCTTTGTTTTATGTTGTTATTTTGGCCTTCGATTGCGGTATTAATTATTTATTTGAATAATTCGATCGTAAGTTTGGAGAATTTTTTTATGCATTCGAATATTATTTTTAATTTACGCGGATTCGGCGCGAGGGTTATTTATTTGACCTTCGGAATGGGTGGGGATATATACCTAGAGTTTGTTTTGTGAAGCACGTCAGTTTTCTCTTGGGGAGCGTCTTCGTGAGCTTCTTATGGTTTTAGGATAATTTAAATCTTATGATGTTCCGATTGAATGTTTATCGATGATCTGAGTTATGGGGCAAATTTGTTTTCCTAAGAATTTTTTTGAACATTTCGAAAGCACATATTTGAACATTTAAAGTGCATATGAACATATATTTACGAAAGGTCGCTTCCGAGGCGATAAATTACCATGTCGAACATTGCATTTTTGTTTTTGCCTCTCGCGTTTTCTTCTCTTCTCGCTGTTCTACCTTTCGTGTCTCCTTTTTCTTAAGTATTTTATTCGATTTTATATTAATTTTCGATTCTTTGTTTTATGTTGCTATTTTGGCCTTCGATTGCGGTATTAATTATTTATTTGAATAATCCGATCGTAAGTTTGGAGAATTTTTTTATGCATTCGAATATTATTTTTAATTTACGCGGATTCGGCGCGAGGGTTATTTATTTGACCTTCGGAATGGGTGGGAATAGTTTTGAACGAAATTTTAGGTATTCTTGCCGAATATTATGAGGTATGCGAATTATCGGGCTTCGGCCATGTTGAATTATACTTACGTTGTAATAGATTAAAGCGTCCATGCACCAGAGCTTGTGCTAGGGCACGCCATTTGCAAAGATAAAGCAGATATATCCCCATTAAATTCTTTTTCGAATTAAGTAATATAAATTTGCCCACACACCCAAACTAGCCCGTCCATCGAATACTCTTGGACCGGGATATTTGAGAATATTTTAGTGGAACGTATCAAAATCGATCGAATACCATTTTTGGGTGCAGTAATGGGACACTAGTCCGTACGATATCATCGCTATTTAGGAATTTGAATGATTAATAAACAATGAATGGAATTCCAAGCATTGGCACATAATGCATTCAGCAGATCGATTTGCATTTATTTTGTTCGTGGTGCGCTCAGCACTTGTTCGACAGGATTAGATT